AAAATAATGGGTCAATTGTAAAAAGGTGAATAAATAGCCTTCTTTATAATAGCAAAACTTTGTACATGACCTAAATGCCCATTTATAGGGAACAAATTAAATGAACTAAGATAAAGCCACATAATGGAACATTTTTTAGCCAATAGATAGATAAAGATGTGCATAACAGGTTAAAAAAAGATCTAAAAGAGCATATAGTTTGAAAAAAAATTTCTTCTCTCCAATATGTTCTGCTTAGTAAAAATATTGAAAAGACTGATACTACCAGTGTTGGAGAGACTAAAGAGAAAGTAACCCATACATCCTTCACTCTGAAGAGTATCTGGCAATAAGGTATCAAAAGCCCAAAACAGACCCTTTTAACCATCAATCTACTCCACTTCAAGAAACTGAGAAGGAAATAAGCTAGAACTAAGTACATAAAATATAAAAGGGTAGTCACAGATAATAGAAAATAGCAGAGAACACACATACACAAATGCCCATCAATTACTGGATAAATAAATTAACAGTACATCCATACAGTAAAATACTATATAGCCACTGAAATAATATTTGCTGTGGAATATTATCTACCTTGTATTCCTAAATTAAAAAAAGGTAAAACTGGTTTCAAAGCTGTATGTATGTATGTAGCTAAAAAAAGTTTATGATAAATACATATATACAATGTAAATCATCTTAATGGCCATCTTTAAGTGATGAAATAATTTTTTATACCCTTTGTATTACAATTTGTTTAACAAAGACATAAAATGAACCACAGGAGGCCTAATCAAACAGAACTGTGGAATGCCCTGTTTTCAAAGGCAATGAAAATGTTCCAGGTGTTTAAACTCTCTAGATAGGAACCTAATTTAAACCTGGTTATCTGGAATGAGCCTCCAGCCTCCACAACCTACCTGCTGACCTTTATCACCCTGATTTTTCAAACAAAATGAATCCCGGTCCCAAAGTCCCCTAAGCTTCCCCGCCATCATGCCTTGGCACCTCGGATCCCTCTACCTGGAATCCCATCTCTGACTATCCAAACTCTACTCAGCTTTCACTTCAATTCGAATCACCCACCCTCCGTGAAGCAATTCTTAACCCTCACCAAGGCGGTGAGTGGGGAGGCCGTGGGTACAGCCAAGAAGCACAGACGGGACCTTCCTCTTGCGACTCGCCGCCGGCTCCTCGAGCACGTGGAAAGGGTCTTCCTCAGTTTTAACCAACTCACAGCAGCCTCTACACAGTAGGCGCTCACATGCACATTTCTTTCCATCTGGCCAAGACGACACTCTAAACCTTATGAAGGACGGAATGCGGTGCGCTGCGCTCCACACCACCTACACGCCCAAAGGCCAAGATGGGGCGCCTGGAGCACTCCCGCTTTGACCTGGCCGACGAGGGGGAGTTAGCCAAGACCCTAGGCTCTGTAGCAAAGCTGCCTGGGATCAAATCCCAGCTTTCCCCACTGAAGAACTGAGAGATCTTGGCAAGTTACGTAGCCTTTTATAACCGTTTCCAATTTCCAAGGCACGTGTGAGAAGTTAGTGGGATCAGGTATGAAAGCAGCCAGACGGTGTCTCACAGACAGTAAACAATCAGGGTGTATCAGCTGTTCGGAGCAGCCCTTCCCCAAATCTCAGACGGACCTCGTTTCCCCAGGGAAGCCTGCTCCGTCTGGAGCGGCGGCCAGGAGCCCGCCTCTGCTCGGGACTTGCCCCGCCCGGCCCTCCACACTGTACCATCACTGCTTACTCGCCAGTAACCTCCAAGACTAAGATGTTGAACCAGGTCTACTTGTGACTCAGTGTTCACACAATACTTACTCAATGACTAATAATTTAAAACAGTAATTTTAACTTAAACCCAGTTTGTTAAGACCCTCAATATGCTAAAGAACACTTGAAAATATATTTATCCCCACACCAATTAGTAACTCCACTTTGTTTTGCCAACTCTCCCAAAAGGCTAACAAGGCTCAGAAAACAGATACACAGTGAAATCGAAAACCACTAAGGCAAGATTTAAAAGCAAGTAAGGGCAGAAGAGAGGGAGCAGCATGCCTAGGGTACACTACCGCCAGGCGGGCAGCACCTGGCTCTCCGAGGCTATGAAGGGAGAGGAGAGGCTCACGAGGGACCTCCCCCAGCAGGGGGACCGCGCCTCACCCCGAGAGCCGCAGCAAAGGTGGAGGCAGAGCAGGCCGCGCACCGCGCTCTGTGCCCCGTTCTCTTACATCGTGTTTAGCTTCTCTGAAAAGGTGTTTTCCCTACGTGTAGCTTCAGTAATTAATTTATGAAGTCTACTGGTTTTTTTCTTTAAGATACTTTAAACGTCATTTTGGAAGCAACTTCCAGCAATCAGAGCATTACACAATGACAGCTTAATTTTGAAAGATTTAGAGTTAAGTAGCAAAAAGGTTTTGATGGTTTCTGACCTTATCTAAATTGTTGCCAGGATCTATTTAATTCTTCCTTAAACAACTTTGATCTGTACTCCTATTTAAATAAATCAGTCCACCAATCACTGAGGAGAACGTGCCAGAGTTGGGATTTTCTTGAAAACTAAAGCTCAGATGGGTACCCACACAGTGTTGACCAAAGCCAAAAAAGAAGAGATTGGGAGGCAAAAAGATTGGCTGTGGTGCCTCAGAAAAGTCTGATTTAAAATGATATCAAAAAACAAACAGTGAACATGAAACTACTCCTGAAAACACTAATTTTTAGCCTTCTAGTTTCACGTCATTAAAGAACCCTTAACACTAAAGCTAAGATCCCTCTCTCAACAAAGGAACAAAGCCAGGCAAAGTCAAATCTTACAAAGAAAAACTATTTAAAGTTACACAGATATGCTGAAAACAACCATCATCATTTAAACCAAGATTAAAAAATACATGGGTCTATCTTCACTATTTCCTCTGCTAGATCTCCCCCTCTCCTACCGCACCTGCGGGCGGCTCCCAGGACGCAGCCCTCCGAGAGGGGCGGCTCCCACCTGCCAGCACTCTCACCTACTACCTCGGAACAGATGCCTGAGGGCGAAGGTCCAAAGCCCAGGCTCCAGACCAGCACATCCCACAGCCTCACAAAACCAAGCAGGCCCACTGTGAACACGCCCGCGGCCTGTCTGAGCAGGTGTGGCCGCCATAATACAGGGTGCCGAGGCCCCTCCCCACCACTTCTAGCTGCAGGGTCCTGGCCAAGTCACCTCATCTCCTTAGTCTCACCTTCCTCATCTGAGAAAAAGCAAAAGCACCTACCTGGAGGCTGACATAAAACTCATGAGACAAATACAAGCCCTGGCACAACACCTGGCACACAGCCCATGCGCTCGATAAACCGTCACCATCAACTGAGAACTTGACCATGGCACCTGCCTGCTTTGGACAACCTTTTAAAGATTCCCTCATAGTCTTTACGTCAAAAATTCACAATCACGGCACACAATGCCTAGGGTCATCTTCAAATTCCAACTTCTCTTTCCCCCCTCGCTCCCCGATTCAGAAGTAAGCACACCCTCTACGAACTTCTGAGCCACTGTGTTCGGGCAGCTCTCAATCTTACAACCCACTTTACCCCTACTAAGCTGCAATTTCTTCACAGTCACATTTTACTCATCATTGTCCCTATTTTATATGATATACAGCTAAGCGTAAACATGATTTTTTATTAAAACCAACTACTTACTTTACAGTAGGAATAATATTTGGCTGGGGTTTTAATAACCGTAAGCGATACCACATACATCTTCCATATACTTTTCTGATATTCTTTAGTCGAATTTGCTCTGTCAAAAAAGAAAAATAAGGTGGTAAGTTAAGCCATCTTTCATAGTGAAGGCACAGCTACAGTTAATACCATACTAACCTTCATTACCATGCCAATATTTTATTGGAACACAGAAGTATTGCCTACTTAAATAACCTTTAAGAAAAATCCACAAAATATGTTGTTTTCTGCCACTTAGAATGAACAATCTTATTCAAGTACCAGGCAATCATTTGTCATGTGAGACTTAAATAACCTCTAATTGAAAAACATAAAAACTGACTTGAACCCAAATATTTAGTCACATTAGCAATCTCTGAGAAATTCTCCTTTCCTTTCTGCTATATAAGGAACAAGTATAAGTTGAAACATTCAGTTTATTAAGGAAGGTAAGCAGAAATGATATCCTTGAAACATGAAAATAATTACGGTAAACTAGAAAAGTCACCCAAACCCATAAGAAGTTACAATAGGTTCGTGCAAGCATATGACAAAAGGCTTTTAATCCCCTGGATAGTTCTGCAATGTAATTCAAAAGGATTTAAACCAAAGCCCAAATACCATGTATTACTTTACTAAACTCACCACAATCTCTTGGTTTGAGTAACCCCCTCAAGATTAAAAATGTATACCGACACGATGCTCAATATACCTAATGCTACATTTGTGGCTTGGAATAAAATGTCCAGTGATAGTATCACACTCAGAACCCAAAAGCACTACCCCAAACAAACGCAAATGCACACATATATTCTGAAAACCAGATGATGACTAGGAAAATAGTCCTGGTGATCACAGACACCGAGGCTTGGAACACGAGGAATGTGAAAATAACTGTTTCCTAAAATGTAAGGGGATAAAGCTGTACTTTTAAAATTACAATCCCCTCAATTTAGAAGGTGGTTACATCCATTAAACCCATCATCAATTGAAAATACACCTCACCCCCCACATGTGAGAGCCCAGCCTCGCCTTCCTGACACGTGCTCAGAACGCTCACGCCGGCCTGCAGTCGGGGAAACTCATCTAGCACAAAGCCTATTTGATAATGAAG